AGCTGAGTAAATTTAGGGAGTCCTGAGTTCTTGTCTTGTGACAACTTTGAGCCTGCTACTGCTCTGCTTCATGTGATTTTACTCGCGTTGATGTCATCTAGGGATTTTGAAACTGGAACTCTATGTTTATATTCTGGATACAGAAAATACTGATAATTTGTTATATTAAATTTCACTGCCAGCCCACTTCATATATTCCCTACTCTCCTGGTTTGTCTAAATTGTCCTGTATCTCATGTTAGTTCTTCTTGTGTATTATTTTTCTGAGTCCAGTCTTCATTTTTCCCTCCATGGGCTCTTCTTACGCTCAGTAATATTGGATTCAAGATGTAGAATTCATTGTTCTCTGTGCTGGGCTTCTTTGGGGCTTGTGGTATCAAAAGGAGCCAAGTGGGGAAGTTAATTTCTGAATTTAATTGTGTTGCTCAAGTGTTCTAGTTTTGCTCTGGATGCTTCTCTAATCTTTGGCTCTGTCTTTGCTTTCAGGTAAATGAGGTGAGAAAATACAACTTCAGTGCCCTTCTCTTGAGTTTAGCTTTGTCTATTTATTTAATTTTTAAAATGAGGTTGCATCTAGTTTGTATTTGAAAGTCATTATAATCTGTTTATAAGTGACCAGAAATCCCTACCATGCTGGGCAGCCTTCTAGAAAGGGAAAGCCTTCTAGAGTTGGCATCCATTGTTCTGGAGTAATGATGCTGCACAATAAGAGGCTTTCTGCACTTAGAACAGTGTATTTGGCTTAATATTCCCATTGCTCCTTGTTATTCGTTATTCCTTTTGGCTTGAAAGAATGGAATTAAGTAATTTTTGTGGAACTTAGGCATGCCAGAGTGTTTTCATTAGGCTTCACTGCTGTTTGCTTGAAATTCTGAAAGCTTAGGGAAAAAAAAAAAAATTCAACCTTTTTGGGCAGTGCCCAGGCAAAATGGCTTAAATAAAATTACTGAACTCCCAGAATGGAGAATGTGTTCCAGTAGTTGAAGTGCCTACATCAGGGTGGGCTTCAGCTGCCTCTGGAGACCTCAGCTCACCACAGGCAGGTGTTGGCACCACGACCCACACAGCCTGGGGACTGCACTAATGATGCTGCCCCAGAACTCACTTGTCTTGTGTAAGATGCTTATGTGAATTTATTCATGTGCTTAATAAGATGTCTGATCTTAAAGCCTGCATTGGTGCAGTCATTTGAAGGGTTGGAATCTGTGGTTATGCCAAAGTTGGAGAGGGTTGGCGTTATCTATACCATGTTCCTGAGCAGAGATTTTTTTCAAGTCTTTCATGCTGGAGAGCAGAAATGAAGAGAGAGGTACTGTGATGTGCTTGGGGAGCACAGTACTCACCGACAGCCCTGAGCCTTACAAAGGACTTTGAAAAGCATCCCTGCAGAAGACAATGCTCACCCTGGCCAGCAGCCATTTGCCTGGGGATCTGTCACCAGTTCCCGCAGAAGACTTGTGTTTGTGGAGGTCTCGTAGCTAGGTTTCTTCAAAACTGCTGTCACAAGTGTGGGGAGTGGGAGAGAAGGGAAAGCAGCATTGGCAGAGTCCTGCAGAAGATGGAGTCGGGGAATCCTCCACCCTCCTCCTCCTCATCCATGGGCAGAGCAATGGCATGGGATGGTGGGTGGTCACATGGAGACACCAGCCCAGGGGCTCGTGTGAGTCTGTAACCCTCTGGATTATTCAAACAACACTTAGAAATTGCTTTTGACTTTCAACTAAAGTCCAGGAAAGGCCTGGACTGGCTTGCTTTGCCAGTCAGATGTCTTCAGCCAGGGGAGCAAGAGCCGTGGGAATTCTCGAGTTAATTGTGACAGTGACATTTCAGAGAGAATTCCCCTGGTAGATCAGTTGGTTTGGGGGGCATTTTGTCACACAGCAGTTTTTTTGGATGGGACTAACTCAGCACCTGAGGCCTTTGAACTCGCCTCCTGCCTGGTGTCGCTTTGACACTGAAAACAGTTACCAAATTTGTGCAGTTCTGGGCTGCAGCTGTTGCAGGAAAGCTTCCCACAACCAGCCAAGAATCTACTACTCTTACATCCCGCCCTCCCCCTGCACCTTGCCACATGATTTTAGATTTAAGAGATACATTAATAGCAACTTCCCCTTTGTTGCTCTTCTGGTTTTAAAAATATGTATGTCAGCAATGCAAACTGCTGGTATTGGGTCTGGTGGATTGAGAGAGGCAGGCAGCTGCGTCACGGTATTCCTCGAAGTTTGCTGTGTGGGATGCTGTCGATGCTGGATGGATGTGGACATTGGGTCTAGACAAGAGAGGAAACACTGAAAGGAAGGTGATCGAGAGGAGAGAGCTAGCAGGAGTGGTTTTATTGAACAAGCTGAGGTCATCCCTTCCAAGGATTGGGTCACCACCGACCCTGTCATCCTTGTCTGCTCCTCTGAAATACAGTCATCTTCTGAAAACCATGGGTGGATGTTCCTGCATACAGCCCAGCTTTTCCTTTCTTAATCAGACATGGTTTGACGTTGTGTGGAGCAGGGGTGATGCATGTTTAAGAGTCTGGTCTAAAAAAAAATACAGTGTTGTGAGGACAATGCTTTAAAGCCCCAGGTGTGGTTGAAACCCCTTGCTCGAGGTGCTGTTTACCCATGTCAAGAAGAGACAGCTTGGGTATGAGTTGGCTCAGTGTCAACTGGAGCTGGAGTATCCTTCATCTGAGCCTGAGGATCTTGCAGGATGTTTTTCCACCCAAATTGTCCTGATCCCTGGCTGGAGGAAGATGTGGTGTCTGCTGGTCCTGTTGCACACAGCAGTGCAGGCCGTGGAGGGGTTCTTCAAGGGGACTTTGGAAATCTGAATCTAGGAAATTGCAGACAACGTGAAGAAATCCACCTGTGTACCTAAGATAAATCTACTAACATAAAACAAGCAATGGGCTCCCAATGAAACCTGTGGAGGCATATTTTAATACCCATTTCCATGATTCAGGCACTGCTTTGATCAGGTCTCTTATGCTGGGAAGGCTTGAAGCACAGTTACCATGGAGCGGCTGCTCTGAGCACAGGGATCCAGTGGCCACGTTAGCAAAGTTTGGAGCCGGGAGCTGCCGTGGCTTTTTCTTTCTCATTGCTGTGGCTGCTTTGTGGTCACCCCATCCCCCAGATTCTCTCATCCTTCCTCATGCTTCATCCTCTGTGTCAAAGTCAGATTCTTCAACAAGAGGCCATGATGCTTTCACCTTGCTTGACTTGCATCCTTTGGTCCCAGGGTTCTGGGCTACCACGGGGCAGCAGTGCTGCACCTTCATCTGTTCCTGTGGCAGGAAGTTTGGCAGGTCCCAGGCTTTGATTACAGCCACGTGTTCGGAGATGGGAGCGGACAGCACAAGGAATTAAAGCACGAAAACATGTGAGTGTGCAAAACACTTGATTCTTGTTGCCCACCTATAACCTGATAACTGGCAGCAATCTTTGTGGTTGGAATAAGTGAGGGTGCCTGACCTCGGGTGTGGTGCAAAGACAAATCACCCTGTCCTCATGGGTTTGCGTTTGCCAGGCAACAGCTGTAGTCATCGGGGTCTTCTGCAAAATGGAAGACAGGGAAAAAAACCTCACACCTTTTTTTGTGGCAGCTGGTCCCAGCCCTGTGCCGGGGGAGCTGCAGCTGATGAGACTTGTAGCAGTTTGGGAATTTGGTCCCCTCTCCTGGGTGGGCACCCAGCTGCATCTGATGAGGCTGCTTGTTTAGCTCTGGGGTTTATATCTCAATGCAACCACCTCTGGGGAACTGAATTTGTCTTCCTTAGGGTGTGCTGGGGCAGGCTGGTGGCTGTCCCTGGGGGCAGACCTGGGTGCCCCCCACAGAGGAGCTGCATTGCCCCCCGCCAGCCTGCTCCCACTGGCCATTAAATATGTATATGGAGGAGAAAGCACCTTCCCTCGCTTTTCATAAATAATTGCTGTGCTGCAAGAGGAGCGAGTGCTTAGTCTCATTACTGCGGGGGAATAAACAGATGCCTACGTTTTGTGAGAAGTGGATGACCTGCTTTTACCCCTCAACAGATGGGATGGCTGGAGGGCTCCCACCTACGGAGGTCCAGGGGAGGATGGAGCAAGGGCACCTCTGTTGGGAGGAGGTGGAGAAATTAGTGGCCGACTTGGGGACTAGCAAAGGAGCTCTTTCTGCTGGGGCGCAGCTGGAATAGCAGACGCTGACATTTGCTGGTCGGAGTTCAAACAAAGATCCCTGTATGGGCTTTATGAGCGAGGCAGTGCCGGGGACACTGGTGGATGTGTCCTCCCTGGCCCCTGCCCTCCTCCAGTTCCTCCCTGGCTCCCTGTGCTTCAGGCAGTGCCTCTCCCGAGGAGGAATTTGGAGGCGAGGGACTGGTGTTTAAGTGCTTTGTGTGAGATGTCAGCTCAGGGCTGTAAACAGCGCGTGGTTTTGCTCGGAGAAAGTACAGAGCTGCCGCTGGCAGCAGTTTTCCATTAAGGCGAGGGCTGGAAACCTCCTGGCATGGAGGGCTGCGCTGCTGGGCAGGCGTAGCTGTGGGAGGAAAGTCTCTCTGTGGAGCATTACCACTGCAAAAAATTAAAATAAAATAAAAATTAGCAAGGCAAGGAAGCAGTGTAGGGGTTTCCCTGAGCCATTTAATTGTGCAATTTCTTTTCCACGCAATGCTTGGGTGGGATTTGCTGAAGAAAGATGGATATTCGCCTCTTCCCTTTGTGTGAACGTGGAGGGCGTTTTGGAGGTGGTGGGCATATTGTTTTGGGTTTTTTTTGTGGATAACAGCTGCACTTGAGATTGCATATCTGTTAATTGTTAGTTTAATTTGTATTACTATCAGTATAGACTAGCACATACCTTTTATTTGCTTGTATTTTTATTTGATGCATTTAAAATCAGGGGACCCAGACCTGGTGAGTCCTGAACCCCCCTGCCATGCCCTGTTCTGCTCCCTCTCTCCTTCTTCCTGTGCTGAGCCTGATAGACCAGTCAAGTGCAATTCTCTCTTTGCTGCTTGTTTTCAGACCCAGACTGGGCATCCCATAGCCTAGGGATCTTCATCTGCTTGAATTGTTCGGGAATCCATCGCAATATTCCCCAAGTCAGCAAAGTGAAGTCGGTCCGTCTGGATGACTGGGATGATGCTCAAGTGGAGGTATGTGCACATCAGGCTTGAAGTACCAGTGAGGCTGCGTTTGCTGTTTTACCAGTGCAGCTGTAAAACAGAGTCCTTTCTAAAGATGCCATGACAAACGTGATTTCAGACATCATGCCTAGGTAATCCCCGAGTGTGGGAATGAGGTCCATGATGCTGACTTAAAAATGAAATAGCCATTTCATGAAGAAGTCGTGAGGGTTTCCCCCACTCCATAAAAATGTCAGTGAAATAGTGTGCACATAAATTACAAATTTTAAATGAATTCTCTTCTGGTTTACATTACCTCTAGCCTAGACCAGATGGTAGACTAGATCTCTGGTCTACCACCCCTGCCCAGCTCAGCTATTTCTAGCTTTGTTCCGCTTAGCGTTGAAGACTCTTAAACTCGCATCTTGAACTGAACCCTCACAGTACAGATTCTCTCTATTTATGCCGCACACCTGCCTAGATTTGGGTGATATTGCTAAAGGCAAGCCTACCCAGGAAACCTGCTTTGAATACTGGTGTCTTCAAAGGCATGAAGAGTACAACCAGTCATTCATCTTTATCTTGTATGTTATAAATTTGAGGTTATTCTGAAAGCCACAGCTCGTGGAGTCATGTGCTTTATGGAAAAAACAGGCCTTTGTGTTGCATGGATTCTCCCTTCCCTGATATTTTTTTTTTTTTTTTTTTAAGAAAAACTGGATGCCCCGGTAATTTTTTTTTTTTTTTTTTTTTAGAACAGATTGAATGCGTAAAATTCAGAGGCTCAAAAGTATGAAAATAATGGAAAAAGTACTTGGGGGAAAAAATTAAAAGAAAAAGTGTAGCTGCTTGTTATGCTTGTATGCTTGGCATTTGATACAAGACAAAATGTATTTAGCATGACTACCTGGAAAAGAATGTGATTTTTTTACATTTATGAAGTGACTTTCATTAAATAAAAATACATGCTTTTGTTTGCCAAGCTATCAACTAGCCATTTGTGTATGAGAACAGAAAGACAGGAGGATTGTCAGAGCAGATAGGATTTTTATTTATGTATTTATTTAGTACTTCAGGCTCCTCTCTGAGATTGCTGACCTGGCTTTGCAAAAATAAAATTATTCTTTTGGAACAAGGGATGTGATCCAAAGAAAAAAACACGTTGTCAGAGACTGTTACTTTACTGGAGCTGTGACTTGTGGAGATTAAAGTTAGTGTCAGATTTTGCTGTCTGGTTGCCTAATTCCTGTGCTGGGATTCCCTGGGAGCCATCTCATCCCTTGCCTGCGAGTGGGAAATGCCACCGTGTGCTGCCCTCTCCTCCCGTGGGGACCAGTGGGGATTGAGCATGTGTGACTGGGACATGGACTTGTCCCCAGCTGGCGGAGCCTTGCTACTAATAATCAATATTAATTTCTGAACCCTGGTTTGCAGGCACAGTCTTTACAGCATCCCTTCTGTGCCCAGTCCTGGGGAAACCTCTCAGTAAGTGAATAGAGGCCCCATCCCGATAGTTTTATTGCTCTTTAGAAGCAAAAGATGGCAAAACCATTGACATTTTATTTTTTTAAAATTTTTTCTCTCTTTACAGTTTATGGCCTCGAATGGAAACAATGTAGCAAAAGCAAAATACGAATCTAAAATGCCACCGTTTTATTACAAGCCAACGTTTCTTGACTGTCAGTAAGTAAATACCTTTGCTGGTAAACAACGTTTATTTGTTTGTGCAGCTGCAGCCTCTGTAATGTTTTAGTTTTAGCATGGATACTTTTTTTTTTAGCCACAGTGGAGGTTTCATTTATGAAAGGCCCTGAAAAATCTTTTTTCTTCTGCACGCATATGGTAGAGTTTATACTACATGTGGGATCTTATTTAATAAGTACAGTTGAGATGATGCAGGGAAGTCAATAGTTTGTCTGTTCCCCAGACTCTTCCAAGTTTCTAAGGCTACAGAAATGCCATTTCCTACCCGTTGATTTCCTCTGCCTTTTCAAATAGCCCTTCTGCATCAAAACAGAGCTTGCTTATGTGCTCCATGAGATGTTAGGTTACTTGTAATGCAAAAATGCTGCGGTTTAGTGCCGAGGTGGTGGATTTTCTTTTCTTTTTTTTTTTTTTTTCCTAAATGACAAATAATCTCCTCTGTGAAGGCAAGTGAAAAGCTATTGTCTCCCACACAGCATAAACCTCCCCATGTAGGTTGTAGGCCAGGCAGGCTGAGCAGCCGGCTCGTGCTGCAACATCCAGGGAGCAAGAAGATGAACTGAAATTGGTTTTTAGGGTCCAGTTCCGCAGAGTACCAAGGAGGGTTTGTATCTTTGTGAAATGGGTCTTTCCAGAAGGTCTGGAGGGCTTAATTTCCAGAGCCAGTACTTTAGCCTTAGCAAACGGATGGATGCTGTTCCCTGACATCCCTCCTAGTGTCACTGATTTAACTGGGTGTCACTAGTTGCAGAGGGAGGTGACAGTGGTGTGACAGCGGCATGCAAGCCTCTGAGCCCTGGAACGATATATTCAAGCCCAAAACAGTACTGGAAGGGTTTGTAGGGTTTCCCAGGTGAGATGTTAGCCGTTGGGTAAGAAGATTCTGTGGTGTTCCCCAAAGCTGAAATTGGACCAAAAGTGGGGTCAAAGTGTTCATGAATACCTATGATCATCCTCAAAGTGACTTTATCTGTACTTGTAATCTTGTAAGAACTATTAAAAAAAGATTTATTGTCTTCCTACATCATGTAAAAATTCTTTTATAGTAAAGTCAGAAGAGGACATCTGTTGTGCCTGTGATTTATCCTAGTGAGGCATCCATTATCCCCTGTTTGACGGTGCTCAAATGCTAAATCCAGGAAAGCACAAGTGTGAGTGGCACTGTCTAGCCTGACAATAAAAAACCCCTCCATTTATGCAATGTTCCCAGACACTGGGTATGATCTAAAATGGCTTCTGGTGGTGGCTTCCATGGTTCGTACAAGTACAGAAATTATCAGAGGATTCACGAACCACTGTGCATTGTAGAAGGGTGTGTTTCGAGGGTGTTGTGATTATCTTGCTAGGATTACTTTTTTCCAGGAAAAAAAAGTGTGAGCCTCTTAGGTTTCCTGTTGCTGGAATGCCCTTGGAAGGGAGCCCAAGGAGAAGCTTCCAGCTGGAGCAGTCCTGCAGGTCCAGGGGAGGAGGAGATGCTGCAAATGCAGCTGAACATGGCACTGCTGTTGTTTTGGGGTGGGGTTTTTTTGTGGGTATTTTTTTCTTTTTTTCTTCATTTCAGAAAAACAGCTTCACAAAGTGACCTTTTTTGTTTGGTTGGTTTTAGCCTGAGGCAGAGAGAGAGAAGGACCTGCTGTTCCTCCATCTAATACAGACCAGGCTTCCTTCTTTTCTTCTTCCTCTGGACGTATTGTTGACCCATCCATCTCCATGCACAAAATCCCACTTCTGTGTCTCCTGATCAGCAGAGCTGGCAGCCTAGGGACAGATATATCCTGATACTGCAGGATTTGGAGGCCAGAGTTTTATGATGCTTGTCTCGCCATCGCTGTGGGGCTTTCCTTGCCCCTTGCGTCCTTCTCATCCCTGCACATCAGCTGCTTCTTGCATCTTCCTGTGCAAATAGGTATTGCACTCCACCTTCAGCTGCTGTTTTGTCCTTACAGGACAGGAACCTCTTTGGTGTTTGAGTTGTTCAGGAGCAAAGTCCTTGTTCTTGTCCCTGCCTAAGGGGGTGCAGAGTTGGTGCTGGGGGAGCCCTGCTGGAAGTGGGGCAGGTCCCTCAACAGCTTGGGGCATCCCGAGATCTGCGTGCAGATCCCACCCAGCTCTCCTTGCATGGGTCAAGCTGAGGGAGAGTGAAAGCTCGAAAGCTCGCCCGCAGCTCAGGCTGCTTAGAGACCACAGGCATTTTCATTCCTTCTGCTGTCAGACTGGCAGAACAGTCTGTGGCTGGTTCTGCGCTTGGTTGTTTTGGCTTCCTTTGATACTAGAGCTCAGGCTTCTCTTCTGTGGTATTTTTCTTCCTCCATCCTGCAGTGCAGTTGCACTCTGGGGAGCTTTGTGGAGCTGAGCTCCAGCCACAGCCCGGGCCAAGCTGCCGGCAAGCACGGGGGCACCGAGCTGGCACTTGGCCAGTGGCACCAGGGCAATGCCTGACGGAGAGGCACATCGCTGGGCTTATAACCTGAGAGAAACAGGGGGGTGAGAGTTAAGAGGTTGGGTTTTTTTTTGTGGTGGTGTTTCTTTTTGGTTGGTTGGTTTGTTTATTTATTAGTTGACTAGGAGGATGAGGTAAGGCTGTGAGCAGCTGGAAAACCGATTTCTGGCCCTTTTGTGCTCCCAATTTGTGTCTGTTTTGCCCTGAGGCAATTTTCAGTTGGCATGCCGTGATTTCTGAACTGAGCCTGGAGCTCTGCTCGTGTAGGTGTTCTCCAGACCTGTACTGCTGGGTCTTTGCAGGGTGCGTTGGGGTAGATGCGACCTCTTGCAGTAACAGATCTCCTTCTGATGCTGCAGTATAGGCAGCTCTGGGTACGGTGCCTGTTGGGAATGTTTCGAGGGTGATGTGCTAGGCTGTATTTTTTTTCTCTAGTTAGAAGCTCTCTGTGCCTTTCAACATGCTAAACAAGAGCAGGAGAGTGCTGCTTTTTAAAGGGGTATATATTTAGCTTTCTCCCCACCTCGCTGCAATCCAGTCACTGCAATAGCTGTTCCCAGCTTGCAGCTCTGGGTAGCGTCGCGATGGATGACACCTCCATCCAGCGCTGGCACCGTGCCCTTGTGCGCTGAGGTGGCTTCCCTGCCCATGACAGGGAGATTGGATTAAATGATCTCTAAGGTCCCTTCCAATCTAGGCCATTCTATGATTCTATGACCCGTGTTCTGCAGCATCAAGACGTTTTGGTGCTTCCGATTATGACAACCCCTGCTGGCTGGCTGCAGCGGCTGGGCAAGTTTGGTGGGAGCTGCCCTCTGACTCGGCACGGCAGGATGCTAACATACGAGCCATAAAAGGGACAGGCTGTGTGTTTATTTGAATCTTCTTAATTAATGATACTAATGGAATCCCTCTACTTTGGTTGTTTTAAGAGTTGCAAAGTTTGGAGCAAGAGAGAAATGCTGCCGTACTGACTTGCTCTTTTTTCTTCTTGCCTACAATGTTGTGTTTGACTCCTTGGGAAATACGTGGTGTTTGCCTGCTGCATCTGGCTTCTGCATCCTCCAGAAACCTCCAGAGCTTCTTAGCTCTGTCAGACACTTGGCAAAGGTTAGAGAAGTTGGAGGGGTACTTGGGAATTGCCCAGGGAAAATTTGCCAGCTGTGCACAGGCAGAATAGCCAACCAAGAAACAAACAAAAAAATCCCCTTCTGTCCTCTCTTCTCTCTGCCAGCAACTTGGCCCATGTGTCAGGAGCAGTGAGCAGAGCAGCCAGCGTCCATACCACTGGGGAGTCCCTGAGGCTGAAATGAATCTCAGATGTTCCAACCACCACCATGTTGGCCCAAAGAGCCTTGGGTGAGGGACTTAAACCACAAAACCACTCTTTGGATGGTCATAAGTGGTCGTGGCCCAGCTTTGTACGCCATGGCAGCTGATGGAGAGCTGTAAAACAGCGTTTTCTAGGGCAGATTCACTGCAGGCAAGAGGCTGAGTTTCGAATCACCAGTGAGCAACACAGGTAGCATTGCTTTTGAGTACAAGCAAAGGGAAAAGGCTTTGTTCAGTCATATGCTTGACTGGAAACTGATGGAAGAAGATGGAGACTGGGCTTTTCCAGTACTGGAAGTACATCCACGTCTCTGCCCAGCACTTCACATGACATTTTCTGTTGCCTTTTTGCCTGATTTGGGAACACAGAGCATCGTTCTGCAGAATTGCGTATGAGCTGCAGCGTGTTGCTCTGCTCATCTCTCTGTGCTTGGAGAAGTGGGAGCTACATCTGCTCCTTATGCAGAACACCTAAATATACTGACTGACAGTACATTTGAGTACCTTGGTAGGAAAAATGAGGCAGAATGAAATGGCATGGGTTGTACTGGATGGTTTTCTTAATCTGGAACAAGATGAGATGTCGGTCCGAGAGGGAATATATCCCAGAAGGGCTCACATATCGAGGAGTCATCTCTATCGTCATCTGAAGAACAGCTGTTACCAGAAGTGTCTTGTTGTATTAAGGTACAATTAAATTGTGCAAAGAGAAAATTGCGTAGTAAATCCCTGCTTTTTTTTTTTTTTTTCCCCTACCATACTGCTTAAAGTTTGCCTCGTCTGGTAGAGGAGCTACCAAGCCTGCCACCTTAGTCTGGTGTCCGAAGGTTAGCCTGGCCTCTTCTCCCATGCATGGGGCATAATGATGGTCAAGGATGCAGACTTCCCACCCAGTTTCCTCTTCCTCTGTCACCTCCTTTTGCTGGTACTTTATCTATAAATTTCTTTAGTGCTTAATGACCAGAGAGGTAAAGTTGAGTGTTTTGCTCATGCTCCTACTTATTAATAAGGGTCTTCAGATTTTACACCTAGCTCATGGTGCTGCAGTGTGGGCTTTCGGAGTGGCTGCTCATCAGTTCCCAAGTGGTGGAGTCTCCTGTGCTGGCTCAAACTGGGTGCTCAAGAGTTTTCTGCCAGAGCATTGCTGGGCCATCAGCCGAGTGCCTGAGATCTGCCCACTCCTTCAGTCCCAGCCGGCTGTGAGGTCTTCTCTCTTTGTCGTTCGTTTTCTCTTTGTTCTTAGTTTGTAAGCCTGTTAATTCATATTGATTCCTTTAATTTCCAAAGGAAATTGCTACAAGGTTAAGATAGTGCCGACATGGGCTGCTTCCTATGTGTTTTTAATTTGTGCTTAACCATTCTGAAAAAAGCATTGTGGTGAACTGGACCGTGTGTGTAAAACACCCAAACGCAAAAGGAACCAGTTAGCATTTTAATTGAGCATGTTGTGATTTTGCATACTCAAATTCAGCTTTAACAACTTTGAATCCATAATGCAAGATTTTTATGCCTCAATAGCTATAAACCCTGTCTCTTTGCTCTCCTCCAGAAGCTTGTTGTTGGCCACGGGTCTGGGGAAGGGTGGATGGCACACCGCTCCTGGGGCTCTGCAAGCCAGGGTGATGCTCAGAGCACCTGGCAGAAGCCCCCCAGCTGTCCCACACCTCCACAAAGCCATTTAAAAGCAATTCCTTACAGCGAGGACTTACCAGCTGGGAAAAGATGCGGAGGCAGAGTGTGAAGCTAGACAGGCTTTCAGTCTACGCTGCAGTGGCTCTCCTTGCGGTCTGAGCAAAAATTTGGACTCGGACTTAAAATTTCATTAAAACAGTTGTTTGACAGGAACTTGGCGTAGCTGCATCCACAGAGCTGCCTGTGGAGAGCAGCTTGGTTTATTTTCTGGAAAAACCTCTGACAAATCCCAGAAGCCACAAATTTGGGGTTTGGAAATGGCGTTCCTGGATGACATTCACTTCTTTTGTCTTTATTGGACTTGGTGGCTTGCATGGATGAAGTCAGAAGGTGGTAGTGGGTCATGTTTGGTGACTTTTGGGCCACTTTCTTCTCTGGCTGAGGCTTCTTGTCTGCCGTATGTCTCCAAAAAGCCATAGCAGCCACACAGCATCCGTGGCATCTGCACTCTAGTACATCTTAGGAAAGCCAGTCCAGCTGAGGGTCTTAGGTAGCAATGAATTAGAGAGAGACTGTAAATTTGGCTGGCTGGTGCTCCTCCAAAGTGCAGTGAAGCCATGCAGCCACGCTTTGATATTAAACTGCTTGAACAGCTTTCTCCATGCTGTGTTTTGCTGCAAGTGAAAGGCTTTGAGTGTGTGGGACTGAGATAAAATTGCTCCACGGGCTTCTTCTGAAACCTTCCTTGCTGGTCCTTTGACAGAGAGCGCTTCTTTTCATGTGGGTGGCCAGGGAGGCAAACAAGTACCTGAAATGAGATTTGGAGCTCTTGATCTATTGATGTTGGTGCTTTTTTGGCTTCTGGACCTGCTGCCTCCCCAGCGCAGCCCAGTCCTAGCCCATTCAAGGGATAACTTTTCCCTTATTCTGTTGGAAACTTATTTTTTTCCTTAGGGTTTAATTTTTCAGGGTTTTGGGTTTTGTTATTCTTTCCCCTTTGCTCCCAGTTTTTTAACTTGATAATTACAAGGACCTTTGTGTTCTAATTGCCAAAAAAAAATGGCGCATTCCCTCTAAGTAGAAGCATGCCAGACGTTAGGTGGGCTGATAAAGCTTTTGGAATTGATCCTGAAAGCTGTGCATCTCCACAGTTTAGGAATGATGCACTTATGTTTTTCTAATGAACACAAATGGTGTATTTTCTACATTATCCCATAACCAGAAATGCAGTAAAATACCACAAGGCTGTTGCTGCAGTCCTTTCTGTTCACAGAACTCCGGTTAAAATCAAAGGGAGGATTTGGATGGAGGGTCCTGAATTCAGCATTGGACATCTGTGCTGGGTTATTTACATCCATATTCACCTCAGGAAAAGTACATTACAACTAAAACACAACAACAGATCTTTAAAAGGCCCCTGAAAAGAATACTTGAAATTGAGATCAGGACTGAAGTCCATTGACAACAGTGGAGAAGACTGTACGGCTTGAGGGACTCTGGGCAGTCCCTGCCTCATAGGATGGTATATTTCGTAGAATCATAGAATGGCCTAGGCTGGAAGGGGCCTTAGAGATCATCTAGTCCAACCTCCCTGTCATGGGCAGGGACACCTCTCAACTAGATCAGGCTACTCAAGGCTCTGTCCAACTTGGCCTTGAACACCTCCAGGGAGGGGGCAACATCTCTGGGCAATTTATTCCAGTCTTGCCTCCCTCGTACTGATCCCATAGATACTAGGAAAAATTTCTGCTCCTGGTTAAATTCAACCAAGATGTGCCAGTGAGACTAGGGCTTAACGCCAGACTCAAAAGCAGCTTTTCATGGCAGGATTGCCACCGGTCCATGAGAGACTGGTGCAGCCTCTTTTGCTGGAGTTCTGCTTTCTATAAATAACCACTGGAGCAAAAGCTGCAGCTACTGGCATTGCAATGAGTTGTCCTAACGGTGGCCTCCTCTTGGTGTGTCTTTTCTTTTGGGAAATTATTGCTAAAAGAGCCTGGGTTCATGATGATGAGGAAAGGGTGTAAGGCCACGTGAAAGGTCAGAAAGTGGTTGCTGGGAAAGTGGCATGGCTGGAGTCCTGTCTCCTGGGGGAGCTGCATCAGAGCCACTCACACCCAAATACTGGGAGAGGTTATCAAGAGCGTTTTGCAGCTTCTCAGTCTACCCCTTTGGTATCCTTGATGGCCACCCAATTTGTGCTGACTTGCACAAAAGCTGAGAAGATATTGAACCACGGCTGTTGATCACGGGAAATAACTCCCTGCAGAGCGATGTTCCCTATGGTGTGAGACCGGCAGACCCTATCCATAGTTTGCATCGTACAGCAAGAGGGCTTCTTCCACTGCCACACACAAGCCTTAATTTACGCTGTATTTAAACACTCATACTGGAAGGCTGACTTTCAGAGAAATTATATGACGCTTAAATTTTGGCAGCTTTGTTGAAGTGTGCAGAAGTATGGAAATGGGCAATTACATGCTACCTTTTGGATTGTCAGCCTTCTGCACTTGCAGGCTACCGTGCTGTGGATATATCGGATCCAGAACGAGCACCTTGCTTGACCCAGCACAGTCCCCTTGAACACTTCTACAAGATGCATCTGAACCTCCTGAGATGAACAGAGGATGGACTGTGCCCAAGCCAGCACGTGGCACAGGGTGACAGCAGAAGGGAGATGGGTGTTCATCTTCAGAGTTCGCAGTCAAACTTGCAGATGTGTGTGTAACAAGTAAAGATCAGCCATGAAAACAGGAACAGAAGGGGGAAAGGCGGAGTTGGTGCATTATTTCTGTTACAGCAGAAGCTGACAGTTGAGTTTTGGGTGCAGGGAAGCTATGGTGCTCCCTGAGCCTTGTGGGAGAAGGCTGCTGCCCCAACCAAGGAGATTAAGTAAAGTGTGGGACAAAATATATGTAATTATTTCCTCCTTTACTGGCAGGAAACCGATTATGGCCACAGTTCTTGTTGAATAGTGTCTTCCAGTTTTGATGAGTGTGTTTGCTGTACCTGCAGATGTATTTTCATAAGCCATATTATTATACTTACCTTCTTTGAGCACTTTTTCTGCAATGTGTCTGCTGAGAAGATAGCATTGTGTTTGTGTAGTCAGCAAAAAAAACCCCACATAATTGAGCATATCAACAGTTTTCATTGGCGGAGAAGTCGATGCATTGAAATGTGATGAGTTTTACAGAGCATGCCCAATGCTGGGGAACCTTTTGCTGTCATCAGTGTAGGCCACTTGGAAATGTCTGCTGTGAAGCTGGGATGACGCGTGCCTTTATTTCTGAGTGTGATTTCTGCCTGCTTGAGCTATTTAAGGTTCTAGGACAATTAAGAACTAAGTGCAGTTAAAAATGGTTTGAAGTAATTTCTAGTGTATTCTAGAACTAAACTACTCCATTAATTGCACCATTCATCCTAAAATCAAATTGCAAAAAAAATATTTATGATCTTTGGGGTATTTTTTCCTGTTCTGGAAGTTAAGGTCTTGGTGTATAATATATCCTTTGGAAGGAACCGGAGTGTGAAAAGTGGAAAAGCCTGGCAGAGCTGAGAAAGCACTTGGAAGTACTTGAGTTTGGAAGAGCTCTGCCAGGTGGGTTCTCAGCACCCTCTGGTGTTTGGGCCCTTGCATCCTCACCCAGCCACGTTCTCCTGGGCGTTTTGAGGCTTTTTCATTTTTCACCACCGAGTTTCTTCCAAGATGTTGGCTAGGACCTGGGGTATGACTGTCCTATGTACCTTTCATTTTGAAGAGGTCACCTCTCATTGGAATTCTTGTCGTTCCTAGTTTAATGGAGAAGCAAACTCTGAGTTCACCGAGTCACAAGTATGACCCATCCTTGGACTGGGCTTCCCCTTGTCCTTACAAGTATAATTTTCACCTGACACATCACATTTTTTTGAACAGCTGTCCATGAGCAGTAAGGAGACAATATTTCTGCAGCTTCGACTGCCAAAAGCCCATCATGTGCGAGGCATACCCAATTTCTGCTTTCATTTTGATAGCTTCAGGGCAAGATTTTTATTTTGTATGCAGTTTGTTTGTTCTTTTGTTTACGGATCCTATGTACTGAACAATGTAGTCTGAAGAAATTAGATTTAAAATTGTTCATATACCGTGAGAATTTTCTACAGAGGCTTATTGGGTGGGTGGGAATGGCCTCTTTGCTAAATCTGTAAATTTTATTAAATAAATTTCCAGTAAAATTGGCTATACAAAGAAACGATTTATTGCTGTCCAGCAGAAGAAACTCTTGACTCTAGACTGTACAATGCAATTTTTCGAAGACTTTTAAATCACACTCGTATTTTGACTGAAGAATTAATGGTTCTGGATTTTTCCTTAGTATATCTTGAACCATGTTTCCTTTTCTCTGTATTTTTTTTGTCCAGACTGCTACGGGAACAGTGGATCAGAGCCAAATACGAGCGAAAAGAGTTCATTCACAGTGAGAAGCAGGAGCCTTATTCTGCAGGTAACAAAAGACACTTTTGGCAGATAAGTTTTATGATGTCCAGTATTTCCATTTTTTTTTTTGTCTCTATGTTCTCTATATTGGTTATTGCTCATATGTCACTAAGTGAGAGGAGAGAGCGCCGTCTTTTGGGAAAGGTCCTGCCTGGCATTCCCTTTATTTGATTTGGAATATTTGGATTTTTCATACCTGATGGAAATAAGTGAGTTATCAAGAGTCTTTCTGTTGATTTCCGTGGTCTGTTCACCAAGAGCAAATCAGATAAAATTTCTGGTAGTGGGAGACATGAAGCTGGATTGGGGCGGAGATAAGGGTGTGTGTCTCATCAAGATGACTTTTCCTTTGCAAAGGTGAAGTAGGATTATTAGCATGGTTTGGTTAATAGCAGACAAGTGTGGTAGATCCCGTCCTCTTCCCAGATCTCTTTTATTGTCTTTCCATAATACTTCAGGTGTTGTCAGTGGGACCTGGTCTCCTTGTAGTATAACAACCGCTTTGCAATTGCAAAGACGCAACGGGTGTGATGGAGCTCATTTGGGCACTGCCAGCACGATGGGCAGAGCAACGGTGGCCTTGCGACGGGACGGTTTAGTAGGGCAGTGGATTGGATGATTTTCTTGCAGAAGGGCAGGATTCGAAGAGATGCAGGGCTCGACCGTGTATTTCTTTGCTATATGTAAGTGACATTTAGTTTATTCTACATGTGAAGTAGTTGACACCAGCTATATACTTGGATGACTCTGGGATAATTCTGTTAGCAAAGAACATGTTACAGATGAAAGGTTAAAATGTTGTTTTCATGCTGCTTTTCTAGACTAATAATAAGCAGGTAGGTCCAGCAGTTTGCTCCTATGGAAACCACAATTAAAATCTTATATATCCTCAATTTATGGTTAGAGCATTTCTGCTCTGCTATTTAGTATACATGAGGCATGCACATAGTGTGTGTAGGGTATCCATATTCATAAACAGTACGTTGTGCACGTTTTTGGTTTAGATTTTCAAAGCGGTCTGCTACAGTTGGATGCATTCTAGCAACAATAAATAGTTTGATTTCACAAATAATTTTTGGAACATATCTGCCAACACATGTGTAGTGTTCACCCAGGAATAATGTTTCTAATTTATGCTGTGCAACTTGTAGGTATAAAAGCTTGGATCCAACTAGGTACTTCAGGCAAATGCATAATTTTAAGCACATGGTTAGTCCTTTTGACTCCAAGAAGAGCATGTGCCTGGTTAAAGTGAAGTAGGTGCTTCACTGCCATGTGGGAAGGAGGGCAGCATGTTCTGAGCTCTCTGAAAAATATTGTAGGAAGAGTTCAAATGCGACTTTATTTTAGCAGTGTATTTCGTAGGTGTTCGTCAGTAACGTGGCTGCATAATATTTAACCGCATGGTGAAGCGATAGGGTTTTCTCCTCTCTGAAGTTCAAAAGCCAATTGGATGCAGAATAGAAGAGAGCTGGTTAAGCCATTTTAAATGAGCAGTGCCCTCAGGAGAAGGAGGGGCAGGGAAGGCAGGCTGGTGGGCATCTCGTAGGTTGTGTATGAATGCCTTTAGGTTGTAAATTGTCTTTGAGACAATTTAAATCCAGTGTAGGGGTCACACTGACCTGTGCAACTGGGATATCATTTGTTGATTCTTCTGGAGAGTAGGGGAGCTTTGGCCAGGTCATTCCTCCTAAAGATGACCAGGTTGGTATAACAGCAAAACAAAGCTGAGGACACGCCAAACTTGCAGCGCCAACTTTTTCTTTTGCCAAACCGTAACAACCCCCAGGTATGGCTGCACGCCTGTACTTCACCCCTTGCCAAAAGATGCTCCTTCTTCTGGACTGCATGATGCAGCTTGCTGTTCTCTGCTCTTGGGCTGTTAGACCCGGGGTCGGTTGTTTCCTAGGCTGTGGCTTGAGAAGGGAGCCCAGGGAAAATCCTGTGTCCTGTAGAAAAGCAGAACATTGGAGATCCCAAAATCATAGAATCAGTTGGGTTGAAAAAGACCCTTAAGATCATCAATTCCAATCGTTAACCTACCGTTACTGAGTCCCCCACTAAACCATGTCTCTATCAGAGATGCTCCTGTGTGCGTTGGGACGCTTCTTGTATCACTTGCATGAAATGCAGAAGTTTTGTCATTGTGTCATACATGGTGCTGGACCACCGGTTTGCCCAGCTGATACAAACCGGTGCCATCAAAACTGTCTGAATCACGCCGTCCGTGAGCCCTGCAGGACACGCTGGAGCTTGGTGCTTGCAGAAGAACCTCAGCCACACCACAGGTCCCAGCTCTGCCCTTCTTGCTGCTTGAAGGGGTCAGTTCAGCTCGGTGGCCACAGCAGCGGCTTGGAGGATGTGACCTGTGTGGGGTGGACCTCCTGTGCCTGATCATGCTGGACTCAGTGCTGCAGGGATCCGTGGAGGATCTGGGCTTTCCACTAACGACCTCCTGAACTGCCTGTGTATGCACCGAGGTGGGACCAGCACGAGGACGCCCTCCTGCCCACCCCACATCCAGTTTGTGTCTCACTTGAATGTATGTATATGTCTCTTTTGTTCTAATGCTGTCCTAGACCATTTTTCTCACCACTCTAAATTCCCTGGAGAGGTGTTAGATTACCAGTTTCTAAGCATGGAACATTTTGTTGCTAATAGAGACATCAGTATCCATTTTCTCATATTTGTTGGAAGATTTAATTCCATTTTGCAATCCCAGGGGCAATTTTGCATTCTGATATTTGTTCAATAATTGAGTAAAAAAATAAGAAAATCCTATCTTTGAATAGTTTTGAGCAACATCCTTTTCCAGGCAGCCTGACGAAACCCCGGTCAGAAATTTGGTGTCTTTCAGAAAATCCTTTGGGGAGAAACTGTCTGGAGCCTGTAGATGCCAAGCAGAAGCTATCACAGCCAAACTGACGGACTTAGGGGAAATAAGTCTTGGGACAGGAGTGTCAGACGTTCAGGTCAGGGCTGAGATAGTCATGCAGCGAAGCCTGGCGGGAGGACATGGCAAGCTCTTCAGCTGCTGTTGAGGAGTATAAATAAAAAGAAGAGTATAAATGAAGAATAAAGAGTATAAATAAAAGAAGAGTATGGATAAAAAGCTGCCCCAAAAGGGCTTGCACACCCCCCGAACCAATAGGAAACGTCTGTCTTGTGAGGTACAGAGCGATACGAGGTCACAGAACCAGAACTGGGGAACAAAGACCCTTTGGGCGTGCAGAAATCCTGCTGTGGGCAATGCTGAGCTTACCTCGGAGAGGAGCTGTGACTGTAGATCCGTGGGTCTTGGTTCAGTCCCTGCCTCTGATGTCCCCTCTCAGGGATGTGCTGTTACAGGTGTAGTCACAGCCTTGATTAGAAGATTGCAGTGGGAATTCCTATAAGGGACTATTTGGAGCGTTTCTTGCTGCCTCAGGAAGCCTTGGAGCACAAGCCCCGTGCCCTATTCACAGCTTTCAACTCCTCTGCCCCCAGTTAGTTTTTCAAACTCTGATGGTTTCATTCCTCCGAAAGAGCCGTCGTTAATGGGTATATTAGTGCCATTGATTTTAGTGCGAGGAGTCGGTTTGAGTTCAGATAGTGCAGGGAGATCAGTGAAACAGTGATTAAATGTTTTGGTGATCCGCTATCGATTCTTAGATACACCCTGTTATACATTTGAGCTCTTAATTCAGCTGTCGTATGAGAGCTGCATAATAGCCAGACTTTATGAAGCAAAGCATTATTTACATGCCAGCAATCCCGATTAACACAGTGGTCCACGTCCCTTCCTCTAGCGATACGTTTGTTGCACAGAATAATAGCACTTTTAAGACCCTTGCATTAATGTGTTTCAGGTAGGCTTTATCCCATCTGAGAAATGAACTAGCTAAATTACTGTCAGTCTTCAGCTAATTATCCCTTTTAACTGAGTTTAATGGGGCACGGGTGCTGAATTCTCCTAGAAATGGAAGATAGTGGTGATTGCCATCAAAGTCTGGATCTGGAGCTCGAGGGCAATTGAAAGGTTTGATAGTTTATATTAAGATTTTGATCAATTTTATGAAGTTTGGACATTTTGCCTTGTTGTTTATAGGCAGCAGTAACAGCAATGCTTCCAAAAAATCCTGCTGCAAACTAATTCATTGGTTGCTTTTGATTCCTTTTAACCAAGGGAGATGTGGGGGAAGGGAAAGGAAACAGTGTTTGCAGGGCTAGAGCACTATAATATTGTAAACTGGTCAAGGTGCAACTACTCTAATGCATCTCAGGCCACAGATGAGAGAATGGGACGTGTGTGTGGACAAGAGAGAGCAAAAGGGGGTTACTTGCTCCTGTGAACTTGGCTTTGGCTCCTGATGGACCCATGTCCCCGGATGCCGGGAGGAGTTGGTGCCCTGGGGCGAGCTGAAGCCCAGCTCGGGAGGACCTGTGAGCAGGGATAACACCTCTTCGGGTCTTTGCTTTAATATTAGCAAATGAAGTGGGAGAGCTCTTAACACCAGGCGTTTAATCTCGTAATGCTTGTCAGGGAAAATGGCTTAATTTCAACCGTGAAAGCACCTCTCGGGGGGATGGAGGAGGCTGGTGCAGTCCAAGAGGGCTGATGAGTGTCTCCGGCAGCAGGCAGAGATGCTGGGCTGTGCAAAAGCACTTGCCACCCTTTCCTTGGAAGCATTGTCTGAGGTAGTTCAGCAATGATTTATATACTCTTAAATTGGGGTGTACGTGCTTTCCAGCAAAGCTCAGGGTAAACTGGGCACAAACAACAGCATCACCAAGGGTTGCTTGTAGCAGTTTTGCTGTGAGTGCTGCCTTCTTGTGTTTCCTACTAATGGGCCAGTCAAGACTATTGCTGTTAATTTATCAGGTGGTGGAAGAGGGGTCAGGGACAGAAGATCCACAGTAGGGTGATAAAAAGTGCCACTACCAGCTCTGCATGCCAGTATGATTCCCCTTGCAGTAGAACTGGGGAACAGGGGTTTTCCC